TACAACTTAATATAATACTCTAATGTCAGAGATATTGTCTTTTGTAATCATATTCATGTGTTCTATTTATATGTTTTATCTGGTTTTATTTCTTCTACTTTCCAATCTAATTATATTTACTGTAATAATATTTTGTTTCCTATATTTATCATTTTTTTGTTACTATATTACTTCTAAATTGGTTTTATTTGAGTATGTCTAATTCTTATAATCTTCTATCTTTGATATATCTGTTATTGTTTTTCTTAAGATTTTCTGACAATAGTTTAAACTTTGCAATGAACTTATATTTTAAGCCAGACCTGCTGCTACTATTAGTCTTTTTGACTAATCTATATTTCAAGCTAGGTCTGCTGCTACTGTTCTTATAAATGCCCTAGGTCTTAATGCTATACAGTAACTTGATGCTGCATATTGTATACTTTTAACATAGTACTCCCTTTCATAATAAGAACTGATATTTATTATACTTACAATTAGAACAATTCTGATTATATTTAGAAAGTTTTTTCAATTCTAGTAATATTATACTACCATATATTGCAAGTTTTTAGCTTATTTAATAATATTTGTAGAACAATTCTGGTTATGCTTAGAAAGTTATACCAACTTCAGTGATGCAATACTATTTTGCAAATCTTATCTTATATTGGTTGGTTAATTTCAGTTTTGTTTATTATAAACTTTCATATAAATATAATTAGAACCTAATTTGGTTTTTTTTTTTATATAAAAAAGATATATACTAACTTTCAAAAATTTTTCTTTTATAGTCAAATTATTCAGTTATGTCAGAGGCACTTTTAATTTTGATTAGACTAATCCTTTATCACAAACTATTTTTATATTCATTACTTTTCTTATTATTCTAGTTATAGTTATTCTCAGGTTATTTTTCCAATCAAATTCTCTTTTTAAATCCTAATTAGAACTTATTTGTACAATCTATTAATTATCCTTTCAAGTAAGTACTTCACAAGTTAGGTACAGAGATGTTGATACTGCTTATATTAAAAGGTATAAGATGTTGGTGTTGCTCTAGTTTTAAGAACTTATATATGTAATCTTTTTACAACTATAACCTCTGTAATACTACTGTTATATATAGTGCTTATACTTTATAATTGGGTCTCTTTTTAGAAATTTCTTTATTTCAAATTTATATCTATACTTGAAATTTTTTTACAAAGCTTCATATTCGATAATAACTCTAATAAGTTACAAAGACAAAATTGCTTCCATTCTAACTCAAATTGTTGATCTTGTCTGTGAAAGGTTTAGAAGCTTACTATTAAGCTATAGAACCTAAACCCCATTTGATAAATTCTTTAATAATTAAATAATCTTGATTTTTCAAATATAATATCTTAAAAATTTTTTTATATTTATAAAACAAGTACTAACAAATTCTATATACTTCAACTTTTGCTAAATTATATACTGATATATTGTTAAATTTAAACAATATAAATAAATATTTAATTGATTTTTTTACAAAAATTATAAAATGTTTTGCAAATAAAATTATTACAGTATTAGGTTTATAATTCTTATAAATTATATAATAATTGTCAATATTATAAATATAAAATAAATTTTTCTAAACAAAAAAAAATCTATTTAATATTTATATATACTTATTTATTTATTTTTTTTTTTTAATGTTAAGGTGAGGTCATGCCCTCTAGTTTTTATTAGTATATGGGTTATAGCTAGTACAATTTTTATTATACATCATATATTACTATATATCTATTTAGATATAGAACTCAGATATCTTTATTTGTAACCTAAACTTATTAAAACTTTATATTATGTCCTACTCATATCTAACCTGGATTTTTGTTTTCTTACTATTTATATTAGATAACCAGCATATTTTTTCTATATCTCATAACCTATTTTTAATAACTTCTAAATTGGTCTACTAGATTATTTGTTTCTTTTAAGTTTCTATCTTTGGTTTGCCTAAAAAATACCTCTTTAGCATATATCTTAAGCCAGGTTCTTGTTGCTGCTGTTAACTTTCCAATTCAAATACTAGTAGCATATATCTTAAGCCAGATATCTGCTACTACTACTAGTTTGCAACCTTTCTTGATTTTAGCATTATTTAAACAGATTGTATATCTAACTTGCTTTTTAAGTACTCTCTTTTATGATATAGATAGAACTATATTTTAAAAATAGATAATCTATTCTCTTTTAACTATTGGCTAATATTTTGCTTTTTACTTGAATATATGAGGACTTAATTTGTATTTGCACTATCTAATGCCAGTTTGCATTCTTCTGTATATACTGACTTATACAGATACTTGTATAAATCTATATTTTTACAGATGTTCTGTATTTATTCACAAAATTCACTTCCAATTTAAGTATCTCAACTTTGATTAATACAACATTTTTGTTGATATGTTCCACTTGTATTACTATAAGCTTCTATATAGATATGATCAAAACTCTGGTTTGGTATCTTTAAATATACAGAACAGGCTATAACTTCTCTGTATATATAACTACCTTCTATTTTCAGTTATTACATAGCACTAATGATGCTTCCAATCTTGATAAAACTAATCTTTTGTTACAAAACTTCTATATATATATTGCTTTTCTCATTACTTTAGTTTGTATTATCTTGGTATTACCCTTTCAATTAAGTACTTCACAAGTTGAATACAAAAATATTGGTATTGTTTTGTATCCAGAAAACTTATATATGCAATACTTTATGTAATAGATTTTTTTGTAATGTTGCTGTTACACATAGTGCCCACATTCTGCAAAATCAGTCTTCTTTTGAAAATTCCTTTTTCTGTTATATATTGCACTTGAACTTAACCACAAGGCTTCATGTTCAATTACAGGCTTCTTATAGGTTATAGAGACTAAAATCTTTTGATTTTGCTTCCAGCCAGACTTGAACTGTTGACCTTAACTGTAAAGGTATGAGAACTTAACCATTAAGTTATAGGACCCACACCTTATATACTTATTTTATTTGATAAATATATAATATTTTTATTTAATAAACATATAACTTATATTATTTATAAAATTTCAAACATATACTCTTTTTGAATTTTTTTATAAAATTCTTTTACTATTTTAATATATGCAGAATATCTAAGATGTGACATTATGTTAACAATCTCCTATGTAGAACCTAATGTTATTAAATATACCCTTACTTCTAACTTATACCTATTAACAAATTTATTACATAAACTCACAATTATATAATATAAGCTAATGATTAACTTTTTGACTTCATTTATGTTATATACTAAACATTTTTTGAAAATAATTGCATTTATCATACTTTTAAAAAAGACCTCAAGTTGAAGATTAACATTCTCTATTATATATTTAAATTTTATTGGATCGAGTTCTAAATCAGTACATTCTCAATGTTATTAATTATATAATACTTTAGTTAATGCATTGATATTCGATGCGAATATGAAATCTAAATTTATATTATTGAAATTAATAAAACTATATAACATACAGACTATAGAGTATTAAACATAAGAGACATTACTTGTATGACAATTACTTGCTTAGGAATCTACTGGTTCTAATACCTTTCTTTTTTACTTGAGTTTTTTTTTTTGAACTATGACTCTGTTGAGCCCTGGCGGCCTCCATAATCTTACAATAATGAGGATGACAAAGTTGCCTTCCATTACTTAGATACAGATATGATTTCAGCATCTGATTCTTTTAACACTTCTCATATGCAACGTTTGTAATTATACGGTATTTAATATTGATATTGGTGTAATTAATAACTGCGCAAGACCTACAGTTTTGTTGGAGCCTCATTTTGTCCTTTTTATTCTTATTTTAATAGAAATAATAAAAAATTAAAAAATCATCTATCATTACTACATTAATAAAACTTACCACTATACAGCTAACAAAACTAGTAATGATGAAACTGGCGATGATGACCGATGACGACAAAACTGACGGCAATGATGAGAACGACAATGAAAGATAGCAACGATGATCAGCAGTGACAAAACTGATGACAACAAAAGATAGCAACGACACAGATTACACAACAGCGACAAAACTTTAATACTGGCAAAGCTTTGAGTTTGACTTCACCTACAAGACTATGAGCTTTATCTTGTTGAAAACTCTATAACCACAGTAAAACTTGACTGTGCCAGAACTTGATCACTAAAGCCTAGCAGCCAGAACCTAATTATGGTAACAGCGAGATACTTACCACAAACTTGACCTCAACTTTTTGTGCTAAAATTTCAAATTTTAGCCACGCTAAAATTTCAACCATGAAGAAACTTTTTGGATAGATCAAAGACTTTTATTATTATTATAATATATATATATTAACTGGCCAATCGCAATCTAACGGGCCATGATCTGCAGGTTACATATTTGCATCCAATAAGATAGAACTTCTGCCATGCTAGTTAGGGTCTGTCCATAGATCGTCCCATAGACTTTCCCCGTCACTGCACATGCGTCATTGAGGTGGTTTGTCAACTAAAGTAAATCAAACCTATATATGTATCATATAAACTTCTAATAAAGATTTAGATGCAGGGTTCTATAACTAAAAAATAGAATCCCAAGTTTTGAATGGATCGATAGAAGGTCTCTGCAATGCAAATTACAGAGCCAAATTTTATATTTGTTTAAAAAAAAATTTTTGTAACTTTGTTACTGGGATAGGAAAGAGTCGATTGGCATCGAAATTTTCTGTAAAAAAATTTTCAACCTGTGCATCTACGTAAATATATTGTTGATTAATCACACTAATAAAAAAATTCCGGTATTAGTGATCACATATAATTTTGATTTACTTGACAGACCACCCCAGTGCGTCATGCACATCATGCACATTTTTATATATTTGCATAATGTGCATTGCATGAACCAAAAATGTGCGTTTTGCGATCTCTAATCGCAATACACATCTAAATTAGCTTCGTTTCTGTTACTAAAAAAAAAAGTCTAATATGAAAATTGGTAATGAAAAATTGTAAATATTTACTTGATTTTGTTTAATTTGACTAATTGAATTTTTTTTCAATAATCAGCTTGTCTTCAATTTAATCCAATCATTGGGGAAGTTCAAACGAATCAAAGACGTGCATCCGAAATGCTCGAAAAGTTTGGATTTATTTAGTTGAATTTACTTAGTCTTGTTATTACTTTTTATTTCTATTACATATCAATTGAATAATTATTAATGGTTCCGTAAGATATCAACCTGGCGAAATCGATATTTTGGTTCTGCCTGAGATGGCTTTCACCGGTAGGTATTGATGCCGATGCATTTTATACATTTTTTTTTTTTTGCTAGTGTCATTATGATCAATATGAATAAATTTCATTTTTTAACATGTTTTTTAATGTTTTTAGGTTATGTCTTCAAAGATAAAGAGCATATTATGCCATATCTCGAGGATGCAGAGACGGGAACTACAGTTCGTTGGGCTAAAGAACAAGGTCGGCTTATATATAGTAACCATAATCAATTTTCAACCATCTAGCCTGTTAGTAAATTTAAATTACAGCCCTCAGGTTGCAAGCGTTTGTTATGGTTGGATATCCACAAATTGTTAAGGGTAATGAATGATTAACTTATTTATCAAATGAATTTCCATACAATCTCCTAATTACAAGTTTTATATAAATAGGTGATCCAGACAAATATTATAATAGTGTGTGCTTCGTTGGTCGAAATGGGAATCTTATTGAAACTTATCAAAAGACTCATTTATTTAGTACAGATGAAAGTTGGGCTGAGGAAGGCCCCGGATTCAAATCTATACATGTACCTGGTTTAGGAAAGGTATTACTGACACAATTAATACAGTTTTTTTTTGACTTATTCCAATCATCAATTCAAGTATGTAATTTAAAATCAGGTCGGCTTCGGTATTTGCATGGATCTTAACTCATATAAGTTCCAGACTGAATTTACAGCATTTGAATTTGCACGTTTTCATCTTCGCCAACAAAGTGACATTATACTATGCTCAATGGCATGGTTGTTGACTGAAAGTAGTAGTAATAATGTAGATTATTGGTGTTACCGATTACTACCATTATTCAACGACACGTATACGAATGATGAAGAATCTACAGCAGGTATACAAAGTCTGGACGCAACTAGAAATCGGAATGTTTTATTTGTTGCATCTAATCGAACTGGATCCGAAAATGGTGATGTTTATTCATGATTGTTAGAGGTTTTTTTTTGCTATATATTTACCCTCGTCTAATGATAATAGGATCAACTTTCTGCGGAAATAGCTGTGTTCTTTCTTTTTCACCAGAGAAAATTCGCATGTTGCGTGTGTTAAATAACTACGAGGAAACCGTTATGGTCGTTGACGTTTCGCAGTTACTTTGACAAGGTAAAATTAATTAACATAGAAGCTTCCTATTTACTAAATTTTTGATGGGTATTATATAATGATATTTCACGTATATATGTCGCATCTGAAGTAGCGATTTATCTAAAGTAGCCACTTTATATATCTAAAGTAGCACCCTGGCTAAAATTAAAATCTAATGCATGCATGACGATCTAATTTCAGGGGCTTAATTTTAGCCAGGCGCTACTTCAAATAAGTCGCTACTTCAGATGCGACATATATATCGAATAATTTTAATTTAATAATATATACAATATAATAAGAATACTAATTTATTAATTTATACCTTATCAGTAGTGTTATAAATAATAAATGAACTTCGTTTAAATCATTTATCGCTTAATTATCTGGTAACCATATTTCAAAATAATAAAGCCTGATTAATTTATGTGAAGGTAGAGTGAGATCCAGTGGATTTAAGTTGAAAGCTTATTTGAGAATTTACCGTAAAGTGCTGAATCCGGGAATTTACGAAGACTAGAGATATACCCGCTGTACATTTCTCGTTCAACTTTGTCAGTTATGAATAGCTTACACACCAGCTATATATTCTTCAAAGATGCTATTTTCGAAATATAATATGGATAATATCTAGATATAAATTGAATTCTTAACCATCGAATACCAGGTACAATTCATAAAGGATCTACAGTTCAGCACTCTACGATATAGGACTTTATAAAGTTACTTGATTTTTTAATTGATTCTTGGAATGTTTTTTTTTTCTTTTTTTTTTAAAAAAAAAAATTCACTCATTATTAAAATATATAACCGATTTTAAACATTTCGACTTGAGCAAATTATAACAAACAACGAAATGGCAAACGATGACTATAATAAAAATGATGCTAAAAGGACACTAAAAAAAAAAGAGCTTATTAGCGTTAATAAAATAAAAAATTATCAATGTAAAAAATTTGAACTTATCTGTCAATCTTTGAAAAAAAATAAAAAATTTAATAGGATACTTTAGTATCAACTAAAAAATTAGCCCACTCACCCCAGTCACTACATAAAGGCATATCCTAATAACCAGGTTTATAACAACCCGACGTTGTATTCTAAATAGAACGTATGCAATAGATAACATGGATGACATATGTCGAAGCAAATAATTGGACATGAGCATATATTTATATGTCCATTGACATGGACTGTTCATGTTCATAGACAGTTCACGTTTATATCTATGTCTATTGACAGTATACTAATCAAACCCCCGATAAACGAGTGCAAATTATCTAAAAAAGTTCTTAAAGGACTAGAGTTCGGTACATTGCATGTTTAAATAAAAAAGCTGACTATTCAAAAAAAGCCGACATTAGCCCTCTTAACTGCACAGCCGTTTTACCTCCTAAAGAACATGAGCAATACCTTCTGCAGTATTAAAAGGTTTCTTAGATAGAGGTCCAAAAAAACTTTTATGGAATAAATAATTTTTTTTTAAAAAAAAACGAATATAAATTGTTGTTCCTTAAGCTCTTTTCCGAATAATTTTTTAAACGAATCCGAGCGACCCATACTCATAGCGGAGTAAAAGGTTTTTAATTGTAATAAGATTTAAATATATAAAAGAAAGAAAATAACAAACAGTAAAATAAGCATAGGAGACTTTCTCAAATTTCGGAAAAGTACATCTTACCCAGGTGCGCCAACAAAATTTCACTATCTCGTAACGATCGAAAAATTTTTTAAAGTTCATTTAGGTTAGGGTTAGCGTTTCTAATAAGATGAGAAACTAGTGGGGTTTATAGTAAAATTGCTCAAGGAATTTTTTTTTGTTAGAGCGCAAAAGGTGGTTTTTTATGCAAATTTTTGTAGAAATAAGCGATTTTTGAAAAACAAATGTTTTTGTTTTGATCTTCCTGATCGTGTAACGTTACATTAAAACGAGACTCACTATTTGATGGTCATCACGTGAAAGTGAAAATTTGTTGGCACACCTGGGGTAGTTGAAAAGTACATCTTTCCCAG